ACAACCACTGCAAAAATCGCCCACCCGTTATCATATTCCAAAGATCAGCAGCTTACATTTTTTTTCAAAATCTTGCATAATATTAAATATTGGCTTTTGATTAGTCAGGCTAATACAAATAAGATAAACTGTTTTTATGATTTTAGGCTAGTAGTTTATTCTTCCATTCATTCACTTGCTTTTCTAGCATATTTCATTTTTTATATGCTTGACTATCCAAAATTTCAAGAGCTTTCCGGATTTTTTTAGTCGAGTTTTTACTGTATACACATGTTTCAGTATTTACTTCGTTTCAAAAAAAAAATAGACACATACTTGAAGTGAATTTACTTTTACAGCTAAAGACAGGAACTGGAAAGCAAAAACGTACTTGTTCGGAGATTGTATTTCTTTTTCGTTCATGAAAATCAGAGTTCATTACACAAACATGCAATCACACTGCACAAGCATGTAAGGAAATTCTTAACTCAGTTAGTAATCCTAATAATTATGTTAAATAAATCAGAAAATATTTTAATGTATTACAGATGAATAAAGTAGTTAAGCTTTTATCAAACAGAACATAATACTACAGTTACGAAGATATTTAATGTTATAAAGTTAGGTAATTTAGTAAATTTCAGTTTCTCACCAAAGCAATGAAGTATTTTGATAATTATGAACTTCCTTGTATATCTTTATAAAAGAACTTTATTGCTGTTTCAAGCAATTAAACAACTGTGCAAGTTATTTTAATAATTTTGAAATATATACACTAAAAGAAACATTAAAATATATTAATATATTTGTCAACCTTGATTTTGGCACAAAAGATTGCAGTATGCTTCGTAATTTTAAAGCACACAGAGGCACTGCAATTCTTATTCCTTGATCTGAAGTTTTCTGCAAGTGTTTTTTTTATTAAAATTACTGTATTGGTTCACATAAAATTTTTTGTATAGTGACTTCAGATCTAGATAAGTTTTTCGAACAATCTCGTTTGCTTTACCGGCGGCGATGAATTTTGCGATGAATGCATCACAGTTATTGCTGAGTATCAACTTCCGGATTTTTCATACTGTTAATGCAGTGAATTATTCTCCTCTTTCCTCAAATACACTACGCCGATAAACAATAACCATTCACTAAAGGTTTTGCGAAATTTCCACTCATAATAATTTAAATTACGAAAATCTCACAATTAGCACCTAAACGCACTGTTCAGCACCACAATTCTATCGAAAGCGCGCCATAGTAGTCAAAAGTGGGGTACGCCGTCTTCTGTTTGCCAGGTGAAATTAGTCGATATTTCCGTGACATCAAAAATTAAAAAAGTGGGGTAGAGTTTGACGCGATTTTAATTGAAGCCTACTGTAGTCTTTTAAACATTTCTGGCTTAAGCGCAGCTCCAACGCGCCGGACAAACCTTCAAAATCTAGCCTTTTGTTTTCGGGAGGAATCTGAAGGATATCCGCTGCGTCTGCTCTCAGAGAAGCGTCGAGATGACAGGCCTTAACTTGGGGATCCCATCCATTTGCTTCCGCCACTATAGAAAACTGTGTCTTATATACTTGCCAGGAGGTCTTCCCATCGTATGTGGGTAGCTTCAGAAAGGGACGAGTAGGCATGGGTAGAAATTTAAAGCCATCCGAATTGCTCCCAGCCATCGCTACGAATTTCTTTAAATTGTCAACTTCTTTAGCAACTGCAGAAACCCTGCCATCGATTTGTTGTTCGATATGTTCTTGGTCGACAGAAACTTTTTCTTCAAACTGTTGTTTGATTCTCTGTTCGACGGCTGTGACTCCTCCTTCAATTCGTTGCTGCACAGCAGAAACTCTTCCTTCGATTCGTTGCTCCACAGTAGAAACTCTCTCTTCTATCTGTTCTTTTAAAGAAGAATCTCTTTCTTCAATTTCTCCAACTTTATTTTCAACAGCGTCTATTCTGCCTTCCACAGTCTCAGATTTGCTTTCTATTATGCAGGTAATCTTTCTTTAACATTTAGTTGGCTACCTTCCATCTCTACTTTAACGGATTCTTGGCGCAATATCATCTCTTTTTGACCAGCGTCCATCTTTGCTTTGACTACGTTCATTTCTACTTTAACGGACACTTGTCCCGCTTCATTTCTTCTTTAAAAGAGTTGACGGCCCCTTCCGCCTTTTCTTGGAATGCAGCAAATGCCTGAATCAGTTGCCTGAATTATTCATATATCGCTCTTGTAACTGGCATTCAAAACCCTATACCTGACACCAAATGTGTCGCGTGCGTACGAGTTCGTAATGAAATGAATGCACAAGTCCGATGAAAAGTAAATAAAATTTATTCTTATCCCAAGAATAAATGCAAAATGCTTAAATTTCCTTAGAGATATTCTTACAGTATCGCAATATCTTACAGTAATTGTATTTCAAACTATTAATGCGTTAACAGAGCTTAATTCAAAACAGAGAAATCTAATCCGATTTCACCGCGAATTCGCTACAATCATTAACAGCAATAAGTCAACAACTGAACTGAGATGTTTCCTCCAGCTGTTTACAGCTTTTTAACCACGCAGGAGAAACCTTTCGTATTTTCTCAGTTTTTCTAGATTAATAATAGAGTACAATTACGAGATATCTATTTATTAAACGCGCGTGCTCCTTTATTTTTAATTTTTCCGGCGCAGCTTTCTCTTCAACTAAGTCTCTTGCTGCATTGCACGATAATACAAAACAATTTTAATCAATTCTATTTAAAAATAGCTAAATCAATATCAAAACCGTAACATTATTTTTGTATTTTTATAATTATTAACAATTATTGTCAGAGGTTTATGTTACCTTGGTAATTTAACGGTACTGACTATTCTGTATATTGATATTAAATATTGTCATTATTGCATTCTGAATTTTGTCTTACTGTCATGTTGAATATGCAATGATTTATGCATATGTGATCTCGTGAATTCCAGTTAAATGACACATTTTAGGTAGGACTTTGTGAATGCGAGCAGAGTTATAGTGATACAATAGCAGAGTGATGCAGTGATATTGAACTGAACTTGACACCCCCCCTTTTTTCGCCGCCGCTAGTGCGGACCTCACTCTCTTTCATCCGCCTCCCACACTCCTTTCACCCTTCTCTTTCTCCCCCACCCGATCTTTATCAGAAGTCGAGTAAAAAGATGTTTCTACATCTTGACACTCGAGAATAAAATACGATCTGTGTGTGTGTGTGATATTGTGATACAGGTGTACATGAAAAATGAAACTTAGATTCTGACTGTAAGATTCAAAAACAAAAACAAACACCACTACTACTACTAAGAACATATAGTGAATTAGCTTCAGAAAGCAGTGCGTCCTTTTACTCTGCATCTGGAAATGACTATTAGTGAAACAAAATGAGTAATGGACAAAATGAGACGAAAGTATAAGTCAAGTGGCCACCATCAGTCGACGAATAAGGTCAGTTTCTGGTGGAAGGTTCTTCAGTGAACTGAAGAGTCTAGTATGAGTAAAATATGTTAAGAATGGAGAATGTCATATGCATATTTGTGTTTTTCTCTGGTAAATGGAAAGCATCTAAGAGAGTTGATGCAGTTGTTAGGATGAATGAGAACTGAATAAAAGAAATTTTTTTCAAGTTGTTTAGTATAGTTTTGAATAGTGTCTACTTTGAGATCACGGTGGATATACGAATTTGGAACGCGTTGATAGTCTCTCTAAGTGCTTTGTTTTGAAGAATTTGGATCTGTTGAAGGTGAGTTATGGCAGCGTAACCCCGGACAGGAATTAGCATAGAGTAATGCTCGTCGAAATATAGATTTACATAAGAGGAATTTTTATGAAGCGGCCATATGACTTCTGGCAAGAAGTGGGTGCATAGTTACAAGCGTGATATTAATTTTTTTCACAGTGTCCCTGAAATGTTTCTGAAAAGTTATTTTTTTATCTGGAATGACTCCTATATATTTGACTTCTTCAACCCAGTAAATTTCTTCTTCAAACAGAAGATGTCTTGGTGATGTGAAATTTGTTTGCCCTTTACGAAACATTATTGCTTTTGATTTTTCAGTATTTACTGAAATCCTCCAAAGAATGAGCCAATTTTCTAGATGATTGAGGTAATGCTGAAGAAGGAGCTGGACAACTGTAACTGTAGAAGCTTGGATCATAATTGCAGTGACCCTTGGGGCCAAGGAGCCTTGCTTGGGGCACTCCAGCGAAAATGTTTTTTGCGGTAGAAACAGTATTGCCAGTTTTCACTGCAGATAATTCTTTCTTGGATATAGGAAGCAATAAGTCTAATACAATGATCGGAGAAGTTCAACTTGCTAAATTTGTATATAAGTCCCGTTGCCATATCCTATCAAAAGCTTTTGCAATAAACAAACACCAAGTAATCGAAGTTCGCCAACTGCGGTCATCGGCGCGGAGGCGCCAGTAAAGAATTTCGCCCAAAAGTGGGGAAGAGGGAAGAAGTGTTCATGCGGCGTGTCAACAAATTATTTTGCCGGTGTTTAAATATGTGAAAAATTATTTATTATGATTAATGTATGAGTAAATAAAATTGTGCTATTGGAAGCTAGCATCTTCAATGTATCATGCTTTAGTTGCCTTTATTTTACTGGTTATTCAGCTTGCTACAATATGCTGGAACGAAATCAGCGAAACTGAAAGTGTGCCTTAAAGAATAGTTGTTCAAAATACAAAGTAAGCATCATTACATGCCAAGCCTTACTGCAATGAACAAACATAAAATATTAATTAATTATAACCCTTAACCTTGCACAGATGAATAGTAATATTTTATAAATATATATAAGATTGTAATCGAATGTATAATGTTGGTAAGGCACCAAAATCTGTTAAACTGCTTAGAGCTTCTAAAAGTCTTAAAACGGTCCTGCATACATATATATCTGCAAGGTTCCCTTCTCCAAGCTTTGACTACTGTCGTCAGTAGCACAAAGCAAAGTCAGTAGCACAGTGTCTGGATTATTTAGGGCTATTTAAATAGTAACACTTAGCAGATACACAATGGCAACTAGGAATGACAAGTGCTCTAACCGTTGTCTGCAGGTGAATTTTGTATTAAAATTGATTAAAAGGTTTTTCTGGATCACAGAAAACGAATAACATTTCCTATAAATTTGATGCTGATATGGCTGAACTCAATCCTTGTACTTAATTCATGTTTGCCAGTTATTAGAGGTATGTATCTCGCAGTGCTGTCTGTAAGCGTTTAGTTCTTTTATTTTGTTTACTGTATGAATGACAACTTGTTTATATGATTCGATGTAAGTTTTTCCGTCAGTGTTTTAATAACTGTATTTTAAGTTTATATAGTTGATTTCACAGTGTTATAATTGTTTAGAGCACTATATGGATGTGTAAAATGCATGTACTGTTAAAATTCGTTTGACTTTTTATAACGACAATTTGAGTTTTACTGTAGTTTACAAATATATTAATTTTATTTGAAGTTTTTCTAATTTCTTTTTCTCTCGGGAAGCAGTGTTTATTGAAAAAGATCATTGCGATAGAAGGAATCGTATAAGATTTTAGATTTATTTTTTAGTTATTAAAATTGACCCTATTTAAGAATGGGCTAGTTTTAAAAATCTTGTACTAAACGCAAAACGTTTAAAAACTGAGTATTAGTAGTTCATGCATTAAATCACTTGAAAATTCTTTTCTAAATGATTTGTGTTGTAAAAAAAATTAATATATGAAGTATATCGTTCCTTTTAATATTAAAATATACAGGGTGATTCTAAATTGGTTTTACAAATTAAGAGGGGTGATAGTACTCATCCAGATGAGCAATAATTACCATAGAACATAGGGTCGCTTTCCACTCTGAGAGGTAGAAAAGAGGAATATTAGAATTCCAACCTGAACGTATAACAGTGTTGGAAGAGCGAATGAACAAGACCAAAAGTTGCGCAATCAGTTTGATGAAAAACTCACGGAGAGGTCACAAAGTGGATAAAACCGAAAACTTGGCGTTCAAGTGTTAATTCGAGCCCAGACTTTGATGGCTAACCCTCAAATGCACATCATTGGTTTGCAAGGTTTCAACCTCGCAAACGATTGCAACAAGTTAATCAAGGGCTGAATATTATCAACTAACTCCAACTTCCGCTGTATGCCGAGATTAGAATGAAATGTTCATGCTGTGTTTTGGCTGTCAGAACTTCGTGTCCCATAGAGGGGCACTTCAAGTAGGATGAGCACAGCACAGTAAGTCCAGAACAGGAGAGAAGATGGCGAAGGGGGAAAAACTGCTACCTTGATAGTATCAAACCTACCTTGAATTGGAGTTAGTTGATAATATTCAGCCCTTGATTAGATAATTAATGTCTTGCAATTGGTATGAATCTGTTAAAATCTGGTCTTGAATTCATTGATAATATTCAGCCCTTGATTAGATAATTAACTTCTTGCAATTGGTATGAATCTGTTAAAATCTGGACACCATCAAAGTCTGGGCTCCAATTAACACTCAAATGCCAAGTTTTCGGTTTTATCCACTTTGTTCACTCTCTGTGAGTTTTTCATTAAACTGATTGTGAAACTTTTGATTTTGTTCATTTACTCTCCCAACACTGTTGTAAGTTCAGGTTGGAATTATAATATTCCTCTTTTCTGCCTCTTAGAGTGGAATGGGACCGTATGACTTATGGTATTTATTGCTCATCTGAATGAGTATTATTTCCCTTCTTAATTTGTAAAAACAATTTAGAATCACCCAGTATATTAAACTTCTGGTTGTTTCAAAACTGCATTTTAAGATTCCATATGGAAATCTTTTATAGAGCGTGCATTTAATTATAACTATTTCTTAAGATTCAGGTGGTTTCTGCTATCATTTTCAATTGCAGAATATTTACTGGCAGTTTAAAATGATAATGTAAGTGGTTACTTTGTCATCCAGTAATGTTAGTTATGAAGTATGTAAATGTTAAAACTACATTTTATAGAGTTTTAGGTTATATGGGAAGTACCTTATCTAATATTGTATAGTTTAAGATTTTCCAAGGGTTTTTCTTAAATAAAAAAGAAATTAGAAGTTTGCACAACTGTCGTTTGTTTGAAAATTTTTGTACAGCTCATGATTTAGTTGCAGAAATAAATGAGCTGTGCTTTCTTTGCCTGAAATATCAGTAACAGAAATCAAAGTGAAAAGAAATATTTACAAAAATCTGTTGCTGATGAATGTGATAATTTTGTAATTTTAAAATATATAATTATTATATTGTGTATTGTCTTAATGCTCGGTAACAGTGCTTTCCAAATAGGGCAAAACGTAGAATCAGAATAGTATTTGTGCTTTAAAATAGAGTAAGGCATTTTATTTAAAGTTAACACTAAAAAAGATGGATTTTATAAATTTTTAATATTCATGTTGATGTGCTTTTTTAAAATCTTTTATTAATGTTTTATGATTTTTCTAAAGCTGATAGTCTTGTACACATTATGTAATTAGTTTTGATGGAGATACACAAAAGAATTCTTTTCCAGGGTTCATACGGTCCTTAAGAGTCCTTAAATTTTTTGCAATTGATTTTTGGTCCTTAAAAGTCCTTAATTTTGGCCAAAATCAGCAGAAGGTCCTTAATTTTTAATCATCTGAAATTTCTGTCTGTTTTTATGACTGCCATTTTCAGTGTGAATTAGCATTTTGGAGGAATATTTTTGGCGATTCACTGACATATATGGTTATCTTTTGAATGGGTTCATGAGTTATAATTTGTTTCTATTTCTAATAAAAATGATGGGATACTAGAGTTTCTAAGCAAGAAGTGAAACATAAGCATTTTGAAATTCCTTTTTTCTAATAAAGAACTCTTAAACAACTTTTCGCTTTTGGAGATGTGAATTCTTTTATTAAACAGCTCTAAATTTGGCGACTTGTCAACATTTTGGCGATTTTAGGATCAATTTCTATAGAAAATTTTTAATTCCGAGATCTGACAATTTTTTGACCAGTTTTTTTTAAGCATCATAACATTGATAAATTTCATTAAAATAATGGTAATAATATTGAAATTATATATAAAAAATAACATTAACACTTACTGTGGTCACAAGATAAAATAAAACATTCTATTTTTCATTGTCGTATTATAAAGTTTCATTTTGGCAACTTATACAATATTATGAATCTGATAAATAAGGCACATTGCTATAAAGCATAATTTACGAAACAGCTCTTAGCAAGAGCAAAATTAGCTATGCAATTAATTAAAAATGTTTTCTTTTTAATTTTTTCATAGTAAGCGTTTTTAACATGGAATTGTTTCGGAATATTCAAAATTCTCAGAATATGCAACAGTTTTCTCTGTAAAATTAATTTTACACTTTTTCCCACCTTCTTTTTTTTCAAAATATTTCGGACTTTTTGCTGTTACAGAATTGGTAGAGATAATTTTTCTTTAGTATTTTAGACATTGTAGCTTGAAAAGTTTAGAAGGGTTTGAAGTCAAGATTTATGGACCCACGATTCTAGAAGATTCGAGAAATATGTGATAAAATGAAAAATGTCTCCATGATATCAACATGTAATGGATGTATTTTACAGAAAGTTTGCGATGAATTTCTTACCTTTTGGAGAACCTCTGGAAAAACAATGAAATAATAATATTTAAATGTTTTACTCCTGATACTAGAATCTCTTTCTTAACATGTTTATCTTCCCTTTATTTTCTCTACCTTTCACTAGACTCAAGCATAAAAAATATCAAAAATGCTTCTAATCTTATCACTGGGCAGGCATTATAGAAAGAGATTTTTTTATTAATAAAGAAATTGAAAACTTACAATTGAAAGATTCATCTGATATGCCTTAAATCATCATACACAGAGCTGGCACTAGGCATTTTCCCACCTGATGCAATCTCTGTGGATCCTAAATTCTAAACATTTTGCTATTTCTAGATTTTGTTATTCGGTGTGTCACTAAATTCTAAAAATTCTGCCACACCAGCTTTGTAACCGGGCTTTACCATATATGTTTCATATTTCTTCTGAATGTTCATATTACTAAAGAAATAGAATTAGTCACTTTTTCTATACATTCTAAATGCATTTAGTGTTTTTTAGAATAACAGAAATAATTAGATCCAAAAATTCTAAAATGAAAAAGAACCATGTTGAAGAAAGAAACTGAATACATAAAGAAAGTTACTCCTCAAAGATATGTGCAGTTATTATTATGTAACATACCCAATTGTTTATAATTTCAGCCTTTCAGTTTATGATTCAGTTGGGAGTTTGGGACTATTTAACTTTTACCAGATCAAGTAAACCCTCATAGGTACCTTGTGGAGATATTGACAAGTTAGGAAATAAGCACGCGGAAACTAGCAAGAGCATTGGTTTGCATCTTGAGACAACTCTCTAATTGTTAGAAAAGATGATTAAACAGAAGGAAATAGATATAAACTAGCCAAAATGTTTGGAAAGGTTTCAAATTAAAATGAAGGATAAATATTTTGTTGAGTGTTGTTACAAAACATAAATGTTTTGTAGCTTTTAACGTGTATCCTAATATCGTTTAAGAATCAGTGTCATAAATTACATGTATTTTTTACTGTGAAATTTTATTAGATTTTGATTTTAATAGGCTTTCTTTAACAAGTATTGTTAAAAAATAAAATTTAATAGCAGCCATGTAAATCCATTATGACTAAGGTTATCTAATTACCTAATTTAATTATTTATAACTAACTTCTTACCCTTAAAAGTTATCTCTACGTATTAAAGCGAGTTATTGCCTTTCATTAACACTTACTGTGGTCACAAGATAAAACACAAAAGTTTAAAATTCAAGTAAAACTTATTCTTTGCGTCTAGTGAAACTTAAAAATAATACAAAACAACTTATCATCTGTGGTACTTTAATCGCTTATTGGAACATTAAAGTATATTAACTGGGCTACAATCCCTTGGAACTCTACACAAAGCTATAACACTAACTGCATCAAACAGAGAAACAGAGCCTGACTAAGTTTCAACACTTGCCAACTGTGTCTACATCAGACCTTTCAGGTTTGTTCTAATGATCAGGTCTCTCTCTAGACAAGCAGCAGCAGTGGCAACATTCAGTCTTTTGTTATGAATCATGCTGATTATGATCTTACTTCTCATTTTAACCTATACCGTTTGACATAAAATCTACCTGCTATTTACTAAACCTCTAGACTGAC